CTCCACAGCTGAAGTGACACCAGCTTAGAAAAGCATGTGAAATCAGAAATACACAGCACAGATGACTTTCAGTCACTTCCAGCCATGTGGATTCGTTTTGGGGGGCAAAAGGAAGCACCATGTCGTAAGAACCACCGTTCCTACCATCTGTTAAAGCAGTTCTTTGTGCAGTTGATTATTTATGATGACTCTCTTAGCTTCCATTTTAGAGGCTGACATTTTCTGACTCCATTCCCAAACTGAGGGGAAATAGTGACATCTGTGCCTCTACTGTCCTAAGTTCCCCTGTAAGGAGATTCAGTTCTAGAAAGTAATTAGTTCATAACATTATGCATGGCAGGGATTAAACTAACATGAATGGGGCATGGTTTTAGGCAGGTTTGCCAGGGTGGAGTTGGTTAGGTTTCTCTTCATTTTTGAACATAGTACACAGGTCTGAAAAGGCACTGTTCCTTGTGGAATAAAATTTTGCCTTTTTTTCCCCTTATCGTTAAAGCATTTTTGTTGTTTTTTAAGTTACTGTTTACTTGAATGTGATTTTTAGCTTAGTTTTCCCTTTGTTGGGGAAACCATGTTTTTAACATGGGTTAAAAATAAATGAGGTGTCTTCTCCCCACCACCCACCTTCCATTTACGATTTTACCAACTGAATTGAATTTTTAAAAATCTGATTACAGACTCCAGTAATTAAACCATGGACGTTAACTTCCTTAAAACTGAGGTCCATTTCTAAAATTGAGAGATATTTAAACCCCTCAATTTGGGGCACCTGGGTGGCTTAGTCAGTTAAGCGTCCGACTCTTGATTTCAGCTCAGGTTGTGATCTCATGGGTCATGGGGTTGAGCCCAGTGTTGGGCTCTGTGCTTAGCAGGGAGCCTGCTTGAGTTTCTGCCCCTCCCCCCATTCTTGCTGTCACTGTGTGTGTGTGTTTGTGTGTGTGTGTGTGTGTCTAAAATAAATAAATAAATCTTTGAAAAATAAAAAACCTCCCAATTTATCTTAAATCTTTGCTTTCTTATATAGAAGCTGAAAAAACTGTCTTTCTGCCATTTTGTGAAATACAGGGATGCCTTAAGAATACATAATATGAAAACACATCTGTGAAACTGTTAAACTGAGGTAGTATTTTTTTATTTCAAAGTAATTGTTTAAGTGAAAGGTTGCAAGAATTTAAGATTTTTTAGAATCTTTACATTTTCAGAAATAATATTACACAGGTAGTCTTCTTCCTAACTTTTATTTATTTTTTCAAGATTTATTTATTTATTTTAGAGAGTGGGGGGTGTTGAGAGAGAATCTCAAGCAGACTCCCTCCTGAGCACAGAGCCCGACATGGGGCTCGATCACACGACCCTGAGATTATGACCTGAGCCAAAATCAAGAGTCAGATGCTTAACTGACTCCGCCACCCAGGCGCCCCCTCTTCCTAACTTTTAAATGTCACATTCTGATAAAGTAGAAAAAGTGGAATCAGAAAACCTGGGTCCAAATTCCAAGTCTACACTAGGGAAACAGTGGTGACCTTGGGAGCCTTGCCTCTGAACCTTATTTGCTCACCTGTCAAATGGGGATAATTACTACCTGCTGAGTGTGTTTTGCAAACTAAATGAAATGACCAAGGAATGGTTCTAGCACATCTCGGGTATACTTTTTTCCCTTTCAGAGAAACCAAAATGTAAGCACTGCCATAATTGTTTTCTCTAGGAGATGCATAGCCAATTTTTATGCCCTGGTAGGTGACACAGTGGAGAAGGAGGTGCCAGAAGAAGAGTTTGAGGTAAAGTAAAGAGAGCTCTGGAGACAGAGTTGTAGTAAGCACCTGTACAAAGCGAGCCAGATACAGCTATTGTGTGTGTGTGTGTGTGTGTGTGTGTGTTTAAATAATGTTTATTGGGTTTTCCTGGTGATAGGAGTAATTCATGAATGCTCTCAAGGCTTTGGGAAGATGCCTTTGGGTGGATCATTTTAGACTTTCAAGTCAGTAATACTAAGGCAAACTTTATGACCTTGCTGTGAAGAGTGGTCGGTCATTGCGTGAGTGTTGGTCAGGACTAGACGTGTGCCCAGGGCAGCACCAGGGGATGAGATGAAGAGGCACGTTGTGGGTGGGCTGCCAGGGAGAACTCTTCTGGGAAGCAGAGTTGGTGCCAATGCTGAATCTCCTGGTCCTTCAGTTAGCATTTCGCTGGTATGATAAAAGAAACTTAATGGAAGGAGTCTTGGGTCATAATTCTGCAAAACTGAGCAACATTGCCATCTATTGGTGTTATTTCAATGCTTAATTTCCTTTATTAGGGGTAAAGCTTGTTGAGTGGTACTGTGATTTTTACCAGAGGGAATTTGTGGCCTCCTGAAGTGAAAGAAGAAATAGGCTGACTACTGCTGTGGTTACCCCCAGGCTGGAGAGCAGCCCCTAAAACAAGGGCTGGGGACCATGAAAGCTTTGTTTGAAAATCAAGGAGTGAAACACTAAGAGAAAGCATGAACTTGGCATTTCTAACATTAACCATCCTTATTTTATTTTATCTGAATTGCTATATGACGTATTATTTATTTCCTTTCCATATTTGAATGTCAATGAAAGCAAAATCTTTATTTTCTCCTTTATCTTCCTTAATGACTGCAAATCGGCGACCCAGTTGCCACACATCCTAGGTACCATTGGTTGCTTTTAGGTTGTGGTGTGGCCCAGGGAGTTAAGTGCACAGCCTTTACAGTCAAACCTAGGTGTGACCTCTGGTTTTCTCACTGTGGGACTTTGGGCAAGTCATTTCCTCAGTTGCCCTCTTCATCTGTAAAATAGGCATATTGTTTGTACCTACCTCACAAGGTGGTCTTAAGGATTAAAAGGGAAGAAAGATTAAGAAGTTTATGCAGGTGTGGAATCTTTAATGATACTCATTAAATGCAGCTGCTCTGATTATCAATAATTGGTAAACAACTAGACCAGAGAAGTAGAGTCCCAAAATAGTGTGTTAAGAGAATAGGGACAAATTAGAATATTTCCCAAACTCAACACTTTTTTCATCTTTACCCAGTGAAGCCTTTATGACTTCTTGAACACCACAGAATAGTAGTCATGATTCTGTTTAAAGTGGTATCATTCTGGGTGGGAAGTTTTGTTTTTCTTAAAAATACCTGAACGTATAGATGCAAACCGTGTGCTATGCATTTTTTTTCCCACTGAAGTTACCAAGTGCTGAAGCGTTACCCAAATACGTTTTTGGAAACAGCCCTTAAGGATCTATAGCAAGTTTTCTAAATATCTTTTTTTTTTTTTATATTTTATTTATTTGACAGAGAGCGAGAGAGCACAAGCAGAGAGATGGGCAGAGGGAGAGGGAGAAGCAGGCTCTGCACTGAGCAGGGAGCCTGACCCAGGGCTCGATCCCAGGACCCTGGGATCATGACCTGAACCAAAGGCAGACACTTTACCATCTGAGCCACCCAGGCGCCCCTCTAAATATCTATTATGAGTAAATTATTGGTTCCTTGAAGATGGATTTGGTTTTTGGAAATTAGACATTTATTTGGTGCCATAGCTGGGGAGTAAGTTTAGGTGTGTTAGTATATCACATTTGGTCAAAAACAAAGTGAATTCTGGAAGCAGTTTCCAGAGAGGAATGCTGAAATGTTTTGCTCCTTGGCTATTTAAAGTTCAGTGATCTTCTGGGTAGACAAATTCTGATGTGGTTGTTAAAAATCACCCCATTTCTTTATAATTACTCATCCCAGTTATCCCCTTCCTCCCCCTGAAGGTATTAAAGAAAGAAGTCGACCTTTCATTGTGTCTTTCCTGAATTCTGCTTTTAAAGTAGGCAGGGGAGGGGCACCTGGCTGGCTCAGTCAGAAGCACACGCCACTCCTGACCTCACAGTTGTGAGTTTGAGTCCCATGTTGGGTATAGAGATTACTTTAAATAAAGTTTAAAAATAAATAAATACAGGGCGCCTGAGTGGCTCAGTTGGTTAGGCGACTGCCTTCGGCTCAGGTCATGATCCCGGAGTCCCGGAATCGAGTCCCGCATCGGGCTCCCTGCTCAGCGGGGAGTCTGCTTCTCCCTCGGACCCTCCCCCGTCTCATGCTCTCTCTCTATCTCATTCTCTCTCTCAAATAAATAAATAAAAAATCTTAAAAAAAAATTTTTTTTAAATAAATAAATACAGTAGACAGGGGATATACTTTGCCTTGGTCAACTCATGTCAGGTCAAGTAATATGAGAGGGAAACAGACTGACTTGAGGAATTGCCATCCACTTTGCATATAGGCTCAGAAAAGCTAGTTTAGAAGTGGGGCCCATTTCCTAACTTAGATTCAGAAAACCTCCTTGCTTCCTTGCTTCTCTCTTTCTTTTTTTTCTTTCTTTTACTCTTACTGACTGTCAAAAAGTTACCATATGCTTTTTAAATAAAAACAGGAGAATTTACTTCATAAATTGTGTCTCGCTCACCTTTCTAAAATCCTCACTTTTTCTTTTTTAAGACTTTATTTATTTGACAGAGAGAGACACCACAAGAGAGGGAACACAAGCAGGGGGAGTGGGAGAGGGAGAAGCAGGCTTCCCACGGAGCAGGGAGCCCGATGCGGGGCTCAATCCCAGGACCCTGGGATCATGACCTGAGCCGAAGGCAGACGCTTAATGACTGAGCCACCCAGGCGCCCCTAATCCCCACTTTCTGGGTTCACATGGAAAAGTGAATTTGTTCAGCTTTAATTATAGGAATAACTTTCATTGTTCTGCAAATAAAAGATGCTGCCACTTTATGCTGTAACATGGAGCCTCAGTTTAAAAACCGAACCATTATGAGAATAATTTAGTTGTAATGCATATAACTTTTAAAACCCAGGGCAATTTTTATTCATTTCATAAACACTTATACCGCAATAGATAGAAATGTGCTACCAAGAAAGCCTTAACACCTTGTTACTAACCACAGTTGAACACACGTAGAAATCCCTCATACCGACTAATGATGCTGTCCTTCTGCTCTTAGTGCGCTCAGCACGCACCGCTCCCCTCAGGAGGGTTTGTCTCATCATCAGGGTGGTCGGTCACGTAGAAGCCATGCTCTTCTATCACCCGGTACAGTGTGATGTACTTGGAGGCCTTCCTCGTCCTTGGAACCACATACTTCTCAATGAACTCGTCTTTGCCCAGTTGCTCCTTGCCTTCTGTGGTCAGAATGCAGTTAATGAATGTGAGGGTGTAACTGTAGCAGTTGTGACGGTCTTCTTCATACCTTAGGAAACAAGCACGGGGAGAAGGGGAGGCTGAGGTTTCAAAGCGGCTCAGGCACAGGCCGTGAAGACGCTGAGGGACTTGCAGGGTTGAGGTTGGGCTCCCCGCGCACTGGGTCTAATGGCCCCCTGGACGACTGAGCTCCCAGAGTGCAGTTCTGAGGGACACTTGGCAGTTCGGGCTATTTCTGCTCGAAACTTAAGATAGGAGTGGACGCGCCTAGAGGTTCCGAGTGCTGACTTAAGTTGTACAGAAACTGCCAACGTGGGGAACTGACATTTTAGAAAGGGAGTTCCATTTCTAAGTTTTAGGGTATCCCAGTGTCTATACTTATTTTAAGGGAAGCCTCAAAACAATTAGGTCCACAGGTATGCTATATATCTAAAGTGTTGAGGGAGCAAGAAATTGAGAAATAAATTTCAAAATTGCTAAATCACAAAAAGGAGTGTTAGGTATTTTTTACATTTTAAACATTTTTTTAAAATTTTAAGGGACTGTAATATGGCTTTTGCTGTACGTATTAAATGTTAAGTATGTAAAAATGTCTAATCAAATAACTGGAGTACTAGGTTGTAGTCCTTTTGGTTCTTAAGATACGGTGACTCTGTTGTGTAAATGTACACTGGCTCACCTCTGCAGAAAACCCAAAATCATTCAACCCCTGCTTACACTTTGTTACAGGCACTACCATCTCAGTACAGGCTCAACACAAAGTACACAGAGCTTAAGAGTCCTGTGAGCTGGGGTCACACCTGCGTGGGGAACGAGGGCCAGGGAGCTGGTGGTCCCTGCTGGCCTGTACCTCTGGGGCAGCCAGGCCCCCGTGGTGGAGAAGTCTTCCAGGTACTTGTCCCACTGATCCATTAGTCCAAACATGCCAGGCTGCAGTAATGGGATGCTTACACTCTGCTCCCACCCTGCTTCATCTCGCTGGACGCCGTGCATGGTGTAATTATACACAACTCCTGCAAGCAAAACTGGAGTCACGCAGAGGGGAGGCTTAAGGGAAGATGCATCTCTGTGAGAAGAGGTTGTCAGGAAACGGCAGCCACCACCACGGTCACTTTACATGAAGTTAGCCAGATCGTACTTTCCGATGACTGTCAGAGAGCAGGAGACCTGGAGAGGCCCTAGGATCCCCTCCAGGTTCAGGCTGGAGAGGGAGCCACCCACCTAGAGTCAGAGAGGATCGAGGGTGTTGGAGCCCCTGCCTCTCCTGCCCTCTGCACATCATTTCTTTCAGGAAAACCCAGGTCTTGCTCCACCTGCTCTTCAACTCCGAGAAGTTGCCCCCAGCAGATGGAGACAATAATAGAGCCAGGATAATCCTCTCCAAATGTTCCTGTTGAAGTTTTCTATGTACAAGGGGGTCTATCTGGTTTCCTTAAATCAGCACTAAATTTCCACTGAGACAGTGGGTCATACATTTGACGGCTCATGTGGGTAAATCTGAGTCCAAAAACCCAGTCCTGGGTTTCTGTTCACAGATCAGTTTCTGCTGCCTCGAGCAGTGCACTCACCATTTGTATTGGTTATTCCGACATGAAGATCGGACCTTCCGTCGTACTCCCTGAAAGAAACATGAAGAGTCGGTATTTAAAGTAGGAGCGTGATCTTGGCTGGTGCCAGAACTTGCCATCAGTGACCAGGCAAGTGGAAGCACTGTTTCAAAACTGGTTGAGCCAAGAGTACATTTGAGGTAGAAAATACTCCCCTGACCCCCCACCTGGCTTTTCTAGCCCTCCCCCCATTACTATTACTAAAGCCCCCACACACAGATGCACTAAAGTGTGCTGGAAGGCCAGCCCTGCTGGAGCATAAAATCAGCTTAACTCCTGGCTCCCCAGCAGAGGGGTGCACCTGGAGGTCAGTTGTTGAATCCTTCCTCCTTGTAGGTGAGGTTACAGCCTGTTCATCAGGCTGACCGGGGAAAGGATCCTGAGTGCATCTCAGCGGACCTCTACCGTCAAAACTGAAATAGTGTCTTTTGGTCTTTGTAGCCCATGGCCCACTTTTCCTGGACAGCCCTTGCTTCCTGAAATTACTCTTTACCTGAGACTATTCATTAAATCTCTGACTCCATATGATTAACCTTCGTGTACAATCCCAAGCCATCACTTACTAGCCCTGGGACATTAGCAAGTCACTTTCTCTGATCTCAGTTTCCTCATCTATAAAATGGGAATATCATAAACCTCCAGCAAGCTGGTTGTAAGAATAAAATGCCTGTCAAGTACCTGCCACATACAGGTGTCGAATAAATCAGAGGTAATTGTTAGATGATAAAGCTCCTTCATGAGACTGCAGGTTCCTCATGAAAGCAAGCAATCCCAGGCTTCAGGATGTCCAAGAAGACAAACAGCTGCCCCACCTTCAGAGTGATCCTGCAGGTCATCTTGTTGCAGCCACTCTGAGTGTTTTGAGACCCCGTGGGTTCAGAGGCTGAGAATGAAGCTGGGCAAAATAGTACCAGTCTGACTAGAGTGCTGCACTTACGGTGTGATCCACCTTGAGATCACTGCCCCAGTGTGTCACTGCACTTTGTCTCCTGCCTAAATCTCAGCTGTTCCTTCCCTCCCCGCGTCCTTCGGTGGCTTCTCAGTCCTGCACAGGTATTTACAGTGGGAACTGTGGGCCTGTCATTTGAAGTAGAGGGCCAGTGGCACCACAGGAAATAAGACTGACGAGATCTCTGCCCTCTTGGAGTTTGCTCGCTTCCAGAGAAGACTTCCAGTTTAACAAGCTTTTAATAGTTGACTGCTCTTAAGGGGGAAAAAATATAGAATGTTACAAAAGCATGTCATAGTGGCAGGGCCATTCCTCTCCCATACCACACCTTTGTATAAATTAAGAAAAGGTGCCCCTTCCTCCCGCAGATACAGCTCTGCCCAGAGTGTTTGGCTTGGCAAGTGTGGTGCAGACTGAGTTTCAGGACCCAAAACCACCTTGGCAAGGCAGCTTTGTGCAGTCCACAATCTGCACAACCATATGTGGCAGACCTGAGAGTTTGATGAGAACCTCGGTGAATCCTTTGGGTTATTGCGGGTTTTCTTTTACAAAGTAGGTGAAACTGTCTCAAGGTGAGTTGTGGGAATCAGTCCTGAGGTTTTGGAAATTAGATGAGAGGGAAAGGAATAGTTTGGAAATTGTCCTTAGAAGGTCTGGTGGGCAAGGGACTACTTCGGTTTCTGCAGATCCTGGTCTGTGGGGATGGGAGGATGCCAAAGCATATAACCTGTTTCAACATCACCACCTCCCTTCTGCTGATGCCAAGCAAGGCTAGGCTCATCAGTATTGCTACCACATCATAGAATAAATAAATGCTTATGAGGGGCCCACCTGAAAGCCTATCATGTTCTAGAAAGCAGGGCTGTGGCTCCTTCACTGTGACATCCCTAGCGTTTCTCACACACAGCTGCTCAGTAAGGATTTGTTGAATGAACCAATGTTACAGCAAATAAATTCTGAATTTTAATCACTTTATTCAAAAGCTTTTGGGATCCAGCCAGTTAATACTCCAAGTTAGCATGAATGAGAGGATCTTATAAAACATTTTGGGCTTCATGATTCAGATAAGGGAAATGCAGGTTCTGCCAGTTATATTCAGAACTGAGTATAAGAATAGGATGGAAAGGGGCTCCTGGGTGGCTCAGTCGGTTGGGCGGCTGCCTTCGGCTCAGGTCATGATCCTGGAGTTCCGGGATCGAGGCCCGCATCAGGCTCCCTGCTCCGCAGGGAGTCTGCTTCTCCCTCTGACTCTCTCATGCTCTCTCTCTCAAATGAATAAATAAAATCTTAAAAAAAAAAACAAAAGAATAGGATGGAAAAGGAGTATGTTGGCTCAACATCGTGACTGGTGCCTGGGCCAGGTTTATCTGCCTTATCGCTGAACCTCACCACCTCGCAAGGTCAGCAGGACCCTCAATTTGCAGATGAGGAACAGAGACTGGAGGGTCTGGAGCTGGTCTGAACAGGGATAGGAATTGGGGGCTTTGTGGCAGCACAGGCCGCGCTGTTCTCTCTGCACCCTGTGGCCTCAAGGAGGGGCAGGGGTACAGCATTCTGCACACTTTGGTTCATTTCATCCACATAAAGGCAGGAAGGAAATCAATTAAGGAAGTTAGTAAGCAGGGAAGTGAATACACCACCCCAACTGTCTTATCCCAAACCAGAGCTCTCGAGGGCACATGGGAGTTGGGAGGGTAGATTTCAAAGAGGCCAGGAGGTCTCAGCATTGGGTCACAGTGATGTTCGTGACCATGCTCATTCTGTAGTGTCCATGGTCTCACACCTGGCTCATGCTGGGCAGCTTCTAATTCCATTTGTAAACTCCACAGGGACACTAAGGAGGCACAGCCCTTTCTTTTGATTTCTGCAATCTTTCTTAAAGTCAGGTAGTATCCACAATTGAGATAGACCACCTCTGGTCTTCAGTTTAATTCATCTCTATTGCAGAAGAGTCTGGATGTGGCCTTTCTTCAGGCTTTGTACATTGTTCCTGTTTGTCACAGATATTACAGACTAATTCACAGTAAAGAAATTATTTTGATTAGAGTAGCTGCTGGGTCATTTTCCCAGTTAGCCTCTGAGCACAAAATCTATGAGTAAAAAAAAGCTCCAAGCTATCAGTTTTCCTCTCTTAAGATTGTATAAGCAGGTTTGACCTTCCCTTATTCTTCATATAGTCTTTCACTAATCACTCTAGAAAAATACATACACCATCTATCTTTATGAAATGAATAGAACTACATTTTAGGATTTGATGCCAAAACACTGGCAAGATTATCCCCTAAACCTCACATTGTATAGTACATGTTAGAAAGTTTTCGGGGTGCCTGGGTAGCTCGATTGGTTAACTGTCCAACTCTTGGTTTCGGCTCAGGTCATGATCTCAGGCTCATGGGATCTGGTTGGGCTGCGTCTGTCCCCGAAACCAAACCTGGCTTTACGCTCAGGCGGGGAGTCTGCTGGAAATTCTCTCTTCCTTTTCTTCTCCCTCTGCCCTTCCACCCCCCCCGCCCCCTCCCCCCCGCGCACTCTCTCTCTTTCTCTAAAATAAATCTTTATAGAAAAAGTTTTAGTGATTACAACACAGAAGGAAAAGTTTACAGAATCACTTAATATAACACTCAAAAAACACTGTACCTAAGGAACGTCCCTTGAGTTGGTCTGAGGAGGAATGAACATTTTTCTTGATGCCCGTTGGTAAATGGATTGGAGATGCTAACAGGTGCTTCCTCCAGCTTCCTTGAGCCCATGACTTGCTGGCAGAGGGGGCAGCTTTGGGGCACACTGAAGCTGTAGATGTATTTCTTACAGTGGCCGAATTTAATTAAAGGCTTTCCAGCCTCTGTACACTGCATGGCTTTCCTGTCCTGGGCAACCAGTGGCAGTTTCCCAAGACTTCCTTTTCCTCATTACCTGGCTAGCAAATGTACGCCTCCTGAGTAACCCGAACAACAGTGATGTCATTCTGATTGACGGCTTCAGAAGCCAAACCAAGTAGGATTAACCAGTAACCAGACCTCCCCATAAACTGGTGTCTTAAAGAGCTAGTTTTCATCTGTGCTCACTTACAAAGTTTCTTTCCAGCCTTGTACGTTTTGCAATGGTCAACACAAAGCTCCTACTCATCTTTTAAAGCCCTACTTTTCTGTGAAACCTTCCTTCGCTTCCTTGAGCATTCCCTTGCACTGGCAGAAGTGGATTCATATTTCTACTAGGGTTCTGATATTTATTAGCCATTAGTCTGTGAGCTTCTTGCAGTTAGGGACCCCCATTTATTTCTGTGTTTCTAGAATAGGTGATGTTGTTTTGTTGTTGGTTAAATATGTGAAATCCTTGGAAGCTATTTTCTTTTGATGTTTTATATCGTAGAAGTAATCTTGCTCATAAAAAATTAACAGCAGTTAGAAATAAGGACAGTGGTTGCCCTAGGTGGGGACGGGAGGGGTACTGAGTAGGAGAGGGCAGGAGGGAGTTTCTGTGGCCTGGGGCTTCTCTGCTTCATTATCAAGGGGTTGGTTGTATTAAGTATTCAGTTTGTGAAAATTCATCAAGCTGGACATTTTACTACATGCACTGTATGATTCTTCAAGTTTAAAATAAGTTTGAGAAACCGCAAAAAAAGGTAATGTCCCCTGTTCGTCCATAACATTTTTCCACTCACCAAATCCTGTTCCCTGAGAAAACTAATAGTAAGGTAAATGAGTATTCCCCCATAATTTTTTTTAAATCCCGGTGTTGTGGTAACAGTATGCTGTTTGGAAATGTGTGTATTTCTCTCATCTCAGAAATTTAGCTACAGTTTGAGGACTATAGGTCCAGCTCATCCTATGCACAGGAATCCATAGTTTGATTGTACCACTTTTTTTTTTTTAAGTAATCTCTACACCCAACATGGAGCTTGAACTCACAACCCCGAGGTCAAGAGTTACATGTGCTTCTGACTGAGCCAGCCAGGCTCCCCTGCACCATACTTCATTTAACCAATCCCCTATCGATGCCTATAGTTCCAGAGAAAAGCAATGGTAAAAGGAAGACCTGTGGGTATCATGGCGGGTATAGTCGCTTCAGAAAAGTGTTTCACAGCATGCCTTTAAATAAATTACACTATGCTGAGATGCAGAAAAGTGCATATTAAGTATTAATAATATCAAAATGATCATCAGACTCACAGAACTAGAGAAAACCCTTAGAAATCCTCTCAAGCATCTTCTCTTCTTACAGTGAAGGCAGACAGGCTGTAGCTAGATGCCCAGCTCAGGTGACCAAGGTTTGAGGTTGAGATTGTTCATTATTAATATAAACCATGCAGCTATTGTTTGATTATTTGAGTGACCCAAGTTATTTTTTTTTAATTTTTTAGAATTTTTTAAAAGATTTTATTTATTCTTCTGAGAGAGAGAGACCATGAGAGAGAGCACGAGTGGGGAGGAGAGGGAGAAGCAGGCTCCCAGCTGAGCAGGACCCTGGACTCATAACCTGAGCCAAAGGCATCATATACTCATCTTCTTGACACCAGTACCAAGAGGAATTTTTAATCTTACGAAAAGGAACTGAGGCATCATGCCTTGATAAACGTTTTTAATACACTAGCATTCTCCTTTTCAAAAACACAGGCATCAAAAACTAGGGGCACCTGGCTGGCTCAGTCGGTAGAGCACGAGACCCTTGATCTCGGGGTTGTGAGTTTGAGCCCCACACTGGGTGTACAGATTACTTAAAAATAAATTTAAAAACTCTTAAAAACACAGGCATCTTAAATACTTTTTTACCTTATTTTGTTTCTAAAAACCTTCTTATGGTAAAGATAAAACAGATACAGATGATAACACAAAACAAATGTATAGTTTAATGAATTATTTTACTGGGAACCCCTTGTAACTATCACTCAAGTCCAGAACTAGAACTTTTCCAGCCATCTCAGAGGCCCCTGTCGTTCCATCCCCACCCCCGGCTTCTTCCAAAAGTGACCCCCACCCCCACTTTTATAGTAATCACTCCTTGTGCTTCATTTTGGATTCATCATCCAAGTGTGCATCCATAGATACTATGGTTGAGTCTTAGCCATTTAAACATTTTTGTTCTGTATTTTAAGTTTTGGTTCCTTTTCCTTCCTCTGATTTTTCTTATCATGTATCTGTGAAGCATCCAAATCATTGGACCTGTAGCGTCTCCCACAGTCTGTTGCCGACTGCTTACTCAAGGTTCAGTTCAACACACTGCTGGGCCCTCTGTACAGCCTTCAAAGTTCCAGCTGGTTCCAGAGACTGGATCAGACTTAGGTCCTATGCTCTTGGCAAGACCATGGGTGTTCTCTCATCAGAAGCACATCTAGTCTGGTCTTCACTCTTTTTTTATGTTAGTCCCCATTATTCTCAGTGCTTAGAGATCCACTCATTCACTGGCAGTGGTACAGTGATGATAATCTAAGTCCATCATGTTGTTTTCATACATTGGTTGGAATAATAGTATGAGGAGACACTTCCCCTGAGCTATTACTTACACAGTGGTGCAGGCATACTGGAAGGATTGGATATGTGCCTGATTCTTTATGCACCTTTCAAGATAATGAGGACATCTCTGACATACTCAGAAAGTGCCCAGTTGGTTTCATATCTGTTTTACTCTAATGTCACTTAATGAACTCCTAGATGTGAACATATTAGCTGGATTTCAACCCAGTGTGGTTTTTATTCTTGTCAAAGCTCAGATTGTCCCATTTTGGCTTCTTCAGTTGGCTCCTGAGTCCTTTTCACATGAACCTACTAGTCACTGTTGATTTCCTTATTATCTAGTCTGTCAAGATGTTCCAGGTTCATCTGAGACCTTTCCCAAACCCAGACCTGGAATCAGCCATTTCTCCAAGAAGCCCTGATTTCCTTTTTTCAGTGGGAAATGGTATTTCAAGAGTACAGTCTGCCCACTAAGGACGTTTATTGGTTATTTCTCCACCTTTTCAGTAAGCAGAGCAGGGTAAAAAAAAAAGTGCACACTTGCATGCCCACACATGAAGATAAAATACTTCATGAGTTCATATGGCTATTTCTAATTCAAATTCAGGACTACAGGGTTTTTATGTATGGTCTTCTACATTACATTTGCATCTTTTTTCTTCCACACTGAAAATTTTCGTTTTCAAGGATACAGGGGATTATGGAATTAGAATGTTCCATAATTAGTCATTTGCTTAATCCTACTTTACACATGCAATAGTCTCAGGGTAAGAATAGTAATACCCTGCCTCCAATTATGATTACTAAATAGAGTTAAACATTGTTTTTGCATGTACTCTCCTCACCTTCTTTATTTAAAGGGTTGTTCTAGATCTTCATTGGCAGAGCATCTACCATTGTAAATAATAACCCCTTCAATCCTCACTGAGGCTTAGCATTACACACAAACTTATATTTAATGGTCACTACTTGTCTTTCCCTCACTCTCTAGTAATTATGGTTGTCTGAAGTTCATCCTCTAGAAAATTCCTTAGGGCTTATAGGAAGAATATTCCCTGAGTTGTTGCATGTTGATAACAAATTCTCTCTGTTCTTTATACTTGGAAGGTCAGTTTTGCTGGATGTAAAATCCTTGGCTGCTGTTTTCTTTAATGGGTCATTCCATTTTCTTCTGGCATAAAGAATTGCTGTCCAGAAGCCTGATGACAAACTAATATTCTTTCTCTCATAAGTCATGTATTCTTTTTTTTTTTAAAGATTTTATTTATTTACTTGAGAGAGAGAGAGAGATGGAGGGAGAGCGCACAAGTAGGGGGGAGGGCAGAAAGAGGGAGAAGCAGCAGGGAGCCTGATGCGGGGCTGGATCCCAGGACCCCAAGACGATGAACTGAACCAAAAGCAGACACCCAACTGACTGAGCCACCCAAGCGCCCCCCATGTGTTCTTTTTTGCCAATATGGCCAGATGATTTGTTTCTTTCTTCTTTTTTAAGATTCTATTTATTTGAGAGAGTGAGAGAGAAAGAGAGTACAAATGGGGGAGGGGCAGAGGGAGAGGCAGAAGCAGACTCTCCACTGAACAGGGAGCCTGATGTGGGGCTCGATCCCAGGACCCTGAGATCATGACCTGAGCCAAAGCCAGAGACACTTAACCTACTGAGCCACCCAGGTGCCCCAATTTTTTCTTTCTTTTTAAGATCAATACTTTTATTACAGTATGTCTTGATGTTGGTTATTTGACATTGATATACTCAGGTTTGTGATGTGTGCTTTGAATATGTAGTTTCACAACATTTTTATTTCAGGAAATTTTTCATAAATTGTAATTTTGAGTATTTTTTCTATTTTCTTTGTTCTGGCTTTCTTCAAGAAATTCTGTTATCTATGTGTTGGATCCTTTGCCTAGCTTTGGTATTTCTCACTTCTTCTAAAAATGGAGATAAAATATACACATCATAAAACACCTATTTAAAGTGTACAGTTCAGTGATTTGCATCTAATCTAAGTTTAGAACGTTTGCATCACCCCCCAAAATAAAGCTCCTACCTATTTGCAGTCATTCTCTATCCCTCACTCCCCACAGCTCCTGGCAATCATTAGTCTGCTTTCTGTCTATGGATCTGTCTATCTGGACATTTCATATAAATGGAATCGTACAATATGTGGTCTTTTGTATCTGACTTCTTTTACTTAGCATCAAATTTTCAAAGTTCATCCGTGGTGTAGCATATATCAGTTTTTTATAATAGTACATTGTACGTGTAGACTACATTTTTTTAAAGGATTTTATTTATTTTTAGAGAGAGTGGAAGAGAGCGTGAGTGGGGTGTGGGGCAGAGGGAGAGGAGAGAATCCTAAGCAGACTCCCGACTGAGTGCAGAGCCCAAGGTGGGGCTCAATCCCACA